GGTCATACCGGGATTTACCACTAGACCACCCCCGTTACATTAGCAAAAATCCGAGGTAAGTCCACACTCCACACAAGGAAGTCGTGTGGCGCTAAGAGGAACTGATGGGCCACAATACCGCCCAGAACTAGTGCAAAAAATTACCCAGCCCGACCAGTTCATGAAAGACTCGGATCGCAAAGCCATATTCAGAGGTTCAGAGTGGACATATTCTGGGTACAACGGCGAAAGATTCGCGAGGTTTGACCTCCTAATGTGCAACCACCGTATCCAAAAGGGCACTCCTATATATCAGAAGATGTGCCTCACCGCTTAGCCAAACCTTGCCCATGAATTCAAAATTTAACACTTCAAACCAAGATATGACGCTGCAACGCGGATGTCGGTGAGCTCCGAGTGAGTTTTTGACAAATTTTGAGTGGTACGGGACAGCTTACTAAACGACGAAGAGGTAAAGGCCGTGCAAAAACCTCACCTTATTATCGTCAAGCAATACGAATTGATCGGGACAAGCACAAGTAAAGCCATTTCCTCCAGCACCGATGAGACAAAGATGCGAGCAGCCTCCATTGTTGGTGCCACATGGGTTTGGATAAGCCGGTTGACGCATTGGGTGCACCACCTTCAAAGGAGACAATTTTGCGGTTTTTTTTTTGAATGTAAATGACAAACTCTCTTACCCGGAGGTCATTGGGAAGCTGAATAGTCTTTTTCAGGATTGTTTCATTTTTGCCGCTGAACTTATCGCAGCGAATGACTTCACGCAAATTCCAATCTGACCAATATAGGTAATCATCGAACACCACCTAAATGGCCATTGCTTATTTCTGTGTTTTGTTATTAAGGGGGTACTTACCATGCTAGACACATGACTGGTTCTACGGGCAGGGATATGGTGTCTACCACCGCCATCTAAGTCCATGAAACCGATTTCATTCAAGTGAGCATCGCCCCAGAAAAGCCTGTAAGGAATAAATTCTGTTACCAAAGGCTAAAATGGCTAAAATGTACCTATTTGAAAAGTAATCTATTGTCAGTGCATTTGGCCATCCGAGGTCGTTCTCAGCCAGTTTGACAATCGGATCGGCCAATTCAGGTGAACCATCCAGAGCCATTCTTCCGATGTAGGGTTGCAAGCTCCATTCGGTGAAGAAGAGGTAACCCTTTCCAGGATGTACAACAATGGCCTAAAACACAAAGAGGGGCCAGATTAGCTCGAAAATTAGGGCAAAGACGCAATTTTTATAGTCTTAAGATTTGGATCAAGTTCATTTGCAACAGCTGATACCTTTGGCTGTGAGATTCGATCCCTGATCAGCGTTCTACAGAATCTTCCATCCAATTC